CAATCGAAAGACTCACCCATGGAATCGGGACACCTGCCTTCTAGCTCTGCCCGTTACTCAGAGCAAAGGGGACGTCAGATAGCCTGGCTCTGGGCCACTCTGTGACATAGAAGCAGGGCCCCATGCTGAGAGGTCATCTCTGAACCTCCTTCTTGTGTCATTATCTTCCATCTATCCTGCTTCAATCAACTTTTTCATAGTGAAGATCAAGGAGCAACTGTGCCTCATATCCCCCTCTGAGTGGCACACACGGAGAGGGACACAGGCTCAGGCACCAAGGTGAGTGAAGGGTGTCTTCCCTAAGCCCTTCAAAACATAGCACTTGTATCTTTTACATCTACTCTGTGCTCGGGCTCAGAGGGTGCTTGGTGCTTGTCCTATCAAGCCTGCCCTTCCCACAGTGAACCCACCTGCTCCAAGGGCAAGCTAGCAGCTCCTCTTTTGGGAAGATGGAGGCCAGGGAGTGGGGTGAATCTTGAAGCTAATACATGTGGCACCACAGTCCAGGCACAGCACCCAGACTTAGGGGTCCCAGATCTCCGGGGTCCCAGGCAGCCTCCGTGTCCTGGAGCACAGGTCTATTCCTGCGAGTCACCCCAGCAACAGCAGGAGTCCCTCGCGGTGCCTTCTGGAGTGTGCTGACACAGCGCAGGGGACAGCTGAGCAGGGCAGCGCTGGAGCGCTAGAGGATGGAATGCTAAAGACAAGTCCTCACTGCCCCAAGGAGCTTGGCTTTCATTACTTTTTTAAATGTTTATGCTGGGTCTGGGGCTTGAACTCAGGAACTGGCACTGTCCTTGAGCTTTTTTGTCTAAGCCTAGTACTCTAACACTTAAACCACAGCTCTACTTTTGGCTTTTTTTTTTTTTTTGGAGGGGTAGTAGTTCATTGGACATAAAAGTCTCACTCATTTTCCTGCCTGGGCTGGCTTCAAATCCCAATTCCCAGATGTGCAGATTGCAGCCTCTTCAGTAGCTAGGATTACAGGTGTAAGCCACTAGCACCTGGCTCACCTGCATATCTTACTGCCTATTTATTCACAGTTTGTCTATTCCACTAAAGCATAAGCCCCAGGAGGCCAGAACCATTTAGTAATTTATCCCATTTTTTTGGGGGGTCCGGTCATGGGGCCTGAACTCTGTGCCTGGGCACTGTCCCTCAGCTCTTCAGCTCAAGGCTAGCGCTCTACCGCTTGAGCCACAGTGCCACTTCTGGCTTTTTTCTTTTTGCTTATGTGGTGCTGAGGAATTGAACCCAGGGCCTCAGGCATGCAAGGCAAGCGCTCTACCACTGAGCCACCTTCCCAGCCCCAATTTATCCCATGTTTTGATCCACGGTAGAGTCACCCATGCTGCTGAAATGAATAGTCTGAACTCAGAGTGCATCCTCGCAGGAATCCTTCCAACAATTCCTAGCTCTGGACATAATCTCTAGGAACAAAAATTATTCTTCAAGAAAGGAAGTGTGTGAGAGAATAAAGCGAGGAATGACACAGAGGATGGACCCAGAAATCCCTGCCAAGGGCCCCTGGCATTGGGAGGTACAACTAGTTCACAAATAAAGGCTTGGAGGTCCTCCTGACCAGGCACGATGAGGTCACAACCACGAGCTTCTTGAGTATGCCAAGAATCAGTCACAGGAAAGAAAGAAAACAGCAGGTTCTTTCTGACAGCCAGGAGGAGCAGGAAGAAGGTCGGTATGAGAAGGGGCTTCCACGGGAGAGCCTGCAGCCTAGCCCTGAACAGAGTAGGATGGCTTCACAGTTGGCTCTGCCTGTTCCAAGCTCAGTAACCCAGAACTTTTGTGCCCATCTCTCCTGAAGAATAGAACACCTGGGTGCACCTCAACAGGTGAGAGCTGGAAGCACAAGACAAAATATGCCATTTGGCTGGAAAACCATAATGGTCTCTCAGGAAGACATGCCCACCTATGCCACAGGGCAGTGCAGTTGAGGGGAATGGGAGAGAGAATGAAAAGGACAGCTCTGGGGCATACAGCCAGGCGGGACGCACAAAGAGCAGGTAAAGGCTAGGCCAGGAAAACTAGCTAAAGCCATGTCCTGCACCGTGCTGGGTGTCCAGGTGAAGGGACAGAGCTAATCTGTGCATGACCAGGGCCATGAGCCCTGCTCAGCTTCTGATCAGCACTGGGGGACAGCAAGGAGTTCAGAATAAGCTTCTTTCCTTATGCTCATGGCATGATGTCCGCCCACGGGGGTGGACTAGAAATCTTCCCTGTGGACTCAGGATGCCTCAAGGAAGAGAGAGGAGCAGCTCAGAGGCCGTGCTGCCCAGGTGGAAGCAGCCACCCAGGTGTTGGCTTCAGCACAGGGCCAGGCAAAGGAAAGGAGTCCAGCATGAGGCAGGCGCTGCCAATGGGAGTCTGCGTCCATTGCTGCTGTGGTCTGAGGTCCTGCATACAATATTAGTTCTCTTCCTTCTCAGGAGACAGTGACCTTGCCAGAGCTGTTACAGACAATGGCAGGAAGCATCCCTCCCTGTGAGCCCACACTTCGAGGAATCGGAAGGAAGCCAGGGCCTGAGTCAGGCGACCCTCCTGTTTGGCTCCCTCCCCAGGGTTACCAAGGTGAAGGCAAGGCCAGGAGCCCGCTTACCCCTTGGAATGGCAAACATCTTCAGCTTTGAAGTAAAATACTGAGGGCAAATGTTCTCCTGGGGTGAGACCCCCGCCCCCACTGTACAGTCAGAAGATGCCCAGCTGTGCTGAGAAACAACCCAGCATCCCTCTTCCCTGGAAGGAAAGGCTCTGAGTTCCTTTAGAGCAAGCAGCTTCTCTAAAACAACTAAACTCTGTTCTTCAGGCCTTTTCTTCCTCCACTTCGAGGGCTGGGAATGTTCTCAGCACCCGGGGGAGCAGGGGGTGGGGGAGAGGAGGGAGGATGCTGCTTTCTCTACCTAAAGACTCTCCTGTCTGCCCAGAGAGCTCATCACTCGCTCTGCCCATCACAGCCACAAACCGCCAGGGCAGCTCAGAGGCCTGCAGGAGTCAGCCTGATTGCCCCAGCTGGGCCTGTCATGTTCTGGGTCTGAATGACTGCAGGATATGGTGCCAAGAACCCCATCAGAGTAGAGCAGAGCGCTGAGATGAACAGGGGAAGGGAGGGTGTGTCCGTGTGGACCCCTGGCTTGCAAAGACCTTTTGCGAAAATGAAGTGCTTGGAATGGGCTGTGAAGGGAAGTCAGGAGTCTCACAGGCAGGAGAAGGAAGGGAATTTCACGATGATGGAATGGCACAAGGAAAGCAGAGTGCAACAAGGAACAAACCACTTCTATGGGGCTTCTTTTGTTCACTGGTACCCAGGGGCCCTGGCATAGTACCCAGGGCATACTAAATAGTTAACAAATATTTTCTGGAGAAGTGAGTGAAGCAGAGAAATCCTTGAAAGCATTCCAGGTCCCAATGAGGGCACTGTCTCTGCAAACCCGCTGGTCTCTAGGATGTAGGTATCAACTAGGTCAAGAACCCCCCTTTCTGTAAGAAAAAAACAGGAAGCCAGGGCTGCTGGGGACATGAGAACTCCGGCAGGGGGGTCACCACGTGGGGTAGGAAGCTATGTTCACCTGCACATGGAACCCATGGGGCTCCAAGCCTGCAGAAACCATGTACCCATGGGTTCATGGGACCACACTCCCCACACCCACATCTGAGGCTGAGACACCTTGGAAAGTGAATAAAGACACAACCAAAACCAAAACACACACAACATAGCACTCTCTCTCCTTAGCACTTGCAGGCCTTTTCACGGCAAGTAGAGAGAATGAGCAATTAGAGAAGAAAACAGCCCACGGTGCCAGCCTGGGAATGCAGAAGCGCGCGGGCCACACTCACCAAGCTGGAGGCAGCCTCGGAGGCCCTGCACCCCGACCCAGGCTCTCCGCAAGGGAGGGGGCCCAGGCTGGGACCTGGACCTGCATCCTGTGAGTCGCAGCTTCCTTTTGGAAAATCACACCACATACTTCAGAGTTCAGACTCAGGTCCCATCCTAGCTGTGTGAGCACACACCCAACATCAGCCATCTAAGCCTCACCTTAAGCTCCTTAGTGTGAAATGGGATCCCAATTTCACAGGACTGCTGGGGAGCTGGTGTACTTAAAGACCCCATACAGAGGGTGGGGACTAAACTTCCAGCCCCCATCCCAATTCCTCACCTTCCCTCAAAGGGATACTCAGCCGTCACACCTAGAAGCTCTGACTAGCTATTGAGAACCCAGACAGCAAGGTGTCTGGGAATTTAGGGAAGGAAAATGAAAAATCACCTCACTTCCTGTTTCATCTGCCAAAGGTCTTGACATGAAAAACAGGAGACTGGGTAAGACTTGAACAGACTAGAAGCCGGAAGTGTCAGGACTTCTGGTCTTGGCTAGGGTATATATAAGCTAGGAGTCTAGCACTGGGCCGTTCAATCCCTGGTCCTGATGTGGCTGCTTGACAACCTCAACCTTGGCCTCTCACTGTGGGAATGCGTGTGCACAGAGAGACGGTCTAAGAAAACCCATGCAAGGAGAACCTGGGGCCACTGTTACAGCTTGTGGGCAACAGGGTGACAAAGCAGTCTAGCCTCTGCCCAACGCCAGAGTGGTAAAAGCCCAGGCACTACAGCCCAGAAGGAACTATCAGCTTCAACCCAAAATGCCTACCTGCTTCATCGTGTGCCCTGTCCTGACCTGGGTCCTAGGCGGGGAGGACAGGGTGAGCCACCAGCTAAGGAGCTCTGCCAGCGGGAGAATGGCAGCCCACAGGGCTAGCCTGGAAGTTGTAGTGAATAGGAATCTCAAGATATCTGAGGCAGAAAATCATCCTTCCTATTTAGTAAAGCTAAGTCAACACGTGCAAGAAGCATAATCAAAACAGTCTATCCCATGGCAATTGGATGGTCCGGTTTTTAAGGGAAGAAGGAAAAACAAAGCCTCTGCACCCCCAGAGGCCAAAGTGGCCCCAACACCAGGATGTAGGTTCACTGAAAAGAGGTTGGGACTTACCTGCAGGTCTGAACAGCTCCGTTGATGTCTCTGGCACAGGAAGACGGAAGAATCAGTAGACCCACAAGAGGGGATCAGGGACCAGGACACACATGCCAGCATCCTGCAATAATGGGAGAGTTGGTGAGACACTTAGACTTCCCTTTCCTTCACACTAGCACAGAGCCAGACTCACCCTGAGCTACGCCAGACCCAAACTCCCCACAGAATAAGAGGAACATGGGTATCAGCGAAAGGGTCTCTGTTTTACAAATGCATCTGGTCCAGGATGCATTCAGAGAGCAAGTGTTTAAGGAACAGATGATGGAAATATCCCAACATAGTTTTAACCCTTTGCTTAGACTGTACAGGGAGCTGGAACCCATAACCCCAGCATGCACAGTTGCCTTCTAGAGCTCTAGCACAGCAGTCTGAGCGTTTTCACCCACAGGACTTGAGGCCACAGGTGGATGGGACAAAGCAGCAAGGAGTAGGAGACCCTTGGCCCAATGGTGCTGGGCGAGAGGACACAGCTTCTAGCTTTCCCAGCAAGCCTCCCGGCCACAAGGTGTAGAATCAACATCCTCCTCGACTGATTCCTGCAGGCCTGAGCCAAGTCCACAAAACAGAATAAGAAAGAGAAATGGACTTTCGGGAAGTCCCAAACCTGAGTGACACAGAATATTCAGAGACACCCTAAAGCTGCCACTCAGCCCAGAGCCTCCACAGGGACCTGAGACCCCTCAGGGCCCACATCACAGCTCAACACACACCCTTGTCTGTCTGACACGTTTATGAGACCCTTGTACCTTTGCCCAGGGAGCAGGCAGCAGCCTAGGAGACCTTCAGATGACTGACCAGAAAGCTGCTCCCTGCAGGCTGTAGGTGCTGGGACTGTTCCAGAAACAACTTGTCCAAGTCCAAGGCAGCCCTTCAAGGGCTGGGGTCAGGCACAGAGCTCCCAAGGCTGGGACCACTCCGTGGCCACCAAGGGTGAGTGGCGTGGATAGAGGTAAAAGTAAAACCCGGGAGGAACTGCACAGAGGCTCAGGATGACAAAGTGATCAACTGCCAGTGAGCGGCAGGGCCACCAGAGCCAGAACAGAAAAGGAATGGGAGGCGCAGAGAGCACCGCGTGCGGAGCAGTGGGAGGTGAGGCTCAGAACGGTGGCTCTTCTGGCTCTTCGCATGCCACCCCCACCCCGCCACACATCCTACGCTCCTGGGAAAGCCAGAGCACAGGGAGCAAGCAACTTGTGGGGTGGCCTTCAGTGCCCCAGGCTTCTCAGCCATCTTGCCGCTGCTCCTCATCTACACGGCTACATGTACACAGCCAAAGACACGCTTGACCCCCGAAAAACAGAATGCTGCCAAGCAGGTGCAGTTCCCCAGGCCCTCAGCCATCTCCTCTACATGCCATCCAGTGCCTCAGCTCACTAAGCTCGACAGGGACCTCCGCATCCTGATTCTTGGCGTTCCCAGACACACCTCCCAACCACTGGGAGGTCAGAGCTAAGTAGCGCCATTTTTGAATACAGCAGCTCCCAGAGAGGGCGAGGGCTGGCTGCACGTGCAGATGGCGCAGGGAAGCGCCTCCATTCTACCTGCGCTTGAGAAGCTCGGCGGGCCTCACACTGGCGAGGACCAGGGGAAAGGCGCTCTGGGAACACAAAGAGGCTGTTGTAGGGACTTAAGTCTCTGGCCAAAGTACCCCAAGTCTAGTAAGTGACCCAAGATGAGGTTAGGAAACAGACCCTGGGGTACAAAACATCCCTGGAATGGGTCCTTCCGGTGACCCTACAACATAAGTGGAGAAAAACAAACCAGTCCATTGCCTGACAGGAAAATGAGAATTCAGGCACAATTCCTGTTTGCCAGTCCCACAGGTGCCATGGCCCTGGGTCAGGGAGTGTGCCCAAATAACACACAGGGCGCTGCTGTGCCCAGGAACGGGGGTGGGACACACACACATATCATTGCTCTAACTCTGACATCTAAATCATCAGCCTCCATGAGTGATGCAGAGAACTGCACACGAGAGAAAAAAAAAAAGAAAACAAAACTGCCTCAGATACAAGAACAGAAGTCAGAATTACTTTTCTAAAAATTTTTCAGAACCCCGATGCTGTGAATTGGTACATGAATCTGTTTTTCTACACCATTTCTATTAATAGACTATCAGTCTCTCCTCATCACCACTAAATAAATGTCAAACAAACACTTAAAGAATACTGGTTTGATGGGGCGCCAAGTTGCAAGCATGCCCAGACATCCACATACCTCAAGCTGGCCCTGGCTAGGTTGGAGCTTCCACACGAGGGGGCGCGCGGCTGAAGAATGCTCCCCCCACCCACATGGACCTGGGGGCGGTGGCTGAAAATAGGTGGACGCTGACACACATGGAAGGCGGTCCTGAAACAAACTGCCTGAAGTCTAACTATAAGCCAGGGCTCTGGATTCCAGGGGGAATATGTTTTATTGTTATTATAAAGGTGATGTACAATGCCAGGCACTAGGTGGCTCATGCCTGTAAATCACAGTTCACGCTGCCCCTCAGCTCTTCAACTCAGGCCACAGCACCACTTCTGGTTTTCTGGTGGTTCACTGGAGATAAGTCTCATGGACTTTCCTGCCCAAGCTGGTTGTGAACGGCAGATCCTTAGATCTCAGCTTCCTGAGCAGTTAGGATTATAGGTGTAAGCCACTGGCGCCCGGCCCACAAGGCTCTCCAGTAAACTACCAGAAAATTGGAAGTGGTGCAGTGGCTCAAAGTGGTAGAGCACTAGCCTTGAGTGAAAAAGCTCAGAGACAGCTCCCAGGCCTGAGTTCAAGCTCTACGACTGACAAAATTAAATAAATACAGGTGATGAACAGAGGGGTTGAGATATAATTCGCATGCCACAAAGCCCATCCTTTTGGGGAGTTGGTATTGAGGAGATGTTTTGAAGCCTCTGGAGCTCAGCCTGTAGTCCTGAGTTCACCCTTTACAGTGTACAGTGCACTGGTTATTAGTCTATTTACAAGGTTGTGCAACCATCACCACTCATTTAACTTGCAATATTTTCTCTTGTTTGTGACTAGTTTCTTTTTTTTTATTGTAAAAATGCTGTACAGAGGGGTTACAGTTACATGGCACGGTAATGAGTACATTTCCTACTGAACTTTGTTGCCTCCTCCTGTTTTCCCTCTACAATCCCTTCCCTCCCACCTCCATAACTACCCCCCCTCAACTTGTAATATTTTCAACATCCTAAAAGAAACTTGACCCTTGAGCATTCTCTGCCCAATGTCTCCTCCCCGCCAGATGCTGGCAATCACTAATCTGTTTTCTACCTCTACAGATTGGCCTGTCCTGGACATTTTCCACTTCAGTGTAATTACACCCCAGGTGGCCTTTCATGTCTGGCTTCTTTCATGAAACATTACATTTTCAGAGTTTATCTATGTCAAAGTATGTGACAGTACTCATTTCACTTTTTGGTGACCGAATAATATTCCATTGCATGCCAGAATGTATAAACCACATTCTGTTTCTCCACTCAACTGCTGTTGGACATCTGGGGTGTTTCTGCTTACTGGCAATTTATTTATTTATTTTGGGTCCGGTCATGGGGCCTGAACTCTGGGCCTGAGCCCTGTCCCTCAGCTCTTCAGCTCAAGGCTAGTGCTCTACCACTTGAGCCACAGCATCACTTCCGGCTTTTTTTCTTTCTGCTTATGTGGTGCTGAGGAATCGAACCCAGGGCCTCATGCATGCAAGGCAAGCGCTCTACCACTGAGCCAACTTCCCAGCCCCCTACAGACAATTTATGAACAAGCTACACAAAACTTTTTATACAAATGTTTGTGTGGATATAGGTTTTCAATTTGATATACACCGGAAGTTCCTAAATTCTTTTTTTTTTTGGGGGGGGGGTCAGTTGTGAGGCTTGAACTCAGGGCTTGGTTGCTGTCCCCGAGCTCTATTTACTTGAGGCTAGCGCTCTATCACTTTGAGCCACAGCTCCACTTGTGGTTTTTGAGTGGTCAATTAAAGATGAGTCTCACGGGCTCTGGGCTTGGTTTTGGCTACATCTTGGCACTGAGGCCTCCATGTTCTATTTGGCTTCTGTGGGACTTCATTTTCTTTTCTCTCTCATGGGGCCTGGGCGCTGTCCCTGAGCTCTTCAGCTCAAGGCAAGTGCTCTACCACTTGATCCAAAGTGCTGCTTCTGGTTTTCTGATGTTAATTGGAGATATGAGTCTGAACAGACTTTCCTGCCCGGTCTGGCTTTGAACCTCCATCCTCAGATCTCAGCCTCCTGAGTAACTAGGATTACAGGCGTGAGCCACCAGTGCCCGGCACTCAGTTATCTTATCTGAGAAATAGAACACTAGTACCCACTTTACCCAGCTGCGTGCATGGCACCTGGCACACAGCACGTGCTTAGTAGCTGCCTCCATTACTGTGGCTGCTCCCCCACAGAACTCACCCCGCCTCCTCATCAGGAGAATGGAGAAGGCACTGCACACACATGAGACCCCAGGGGGAGGGTCTAGCCCATGGCCACTTCTGGGCAGCAGAGCCCAGAGAATCACAGGGGCCAAGCTGCATGTCCATGCCCTCACATGCTGCCCCAGGCCCTTCTGAGAGCTGGGCACCTGTCTTCTCTCCCTGGGAATAGCTCTGGGCCCTCTGCTGGTGCTCATCCTGGTCCTTACACCTGGCAGGGTAGTTGTGCTTCTCCTTGTTTGACAACCCTCCCCCGCCCCCCCAGCTTCCACTGGCTCCCACACACTGCTCTTTCCCAGGCAGCAGGAACCCTCAGGGCTCTCACAGTGGAGAGTGTCGGGTGTGGGTGGAAGCACTAGCCGGCCACTGGGAAGCAGGGAGAAGCTCTTGTCCCAGGCGGTGGACAGTGAGGGCAGACCTGAAGCACCGAATCTAGGGCTTGGAAAGCAGAGCTGGGCAAAGGTAAACAGCAATACTTCTGTGAGTGTGCAAGAGTTCATAGAGGGGACAGAGAGTGTGCGTGTGCGTGTGTGCATGCACTCGGCACACATGCACACACATAACAAAAAGGAGAAATTCTTAGCCCGCAGCAGTTGGTAGCATTATGTAAAATCCCAAGCCCACAAAAATAT